GAAGCGCTGGCTGCGGGCTGGGGCTGAGGAAGCCGTGGGTGAGCAGCTCCGGGAGCCATCAATGAGGCTCTGAGGCGGAGGGGAAGGGGCCGGAGGGCAGGCAGGGAGAGGGGCAGAGGGGCCCCCGGGGCCCAGGCTCGGCGTCCCCAGGATGCTGTGGGCGTGGAGGCCACTCAGATCCCAGCTCGGGAACCATGAGGCTGAGCTAAAGGATGAATTAAAACACGGTGCCGGGTACCGAACCCTTCAGCCCCATGTCCCCCTGTCCTGCGGCTCAGTGACATGCCAGCCCTGGGCAGGCCCCTCACTGCCACCCCCACTACGAACCCTAGGCCAGGACCCCTCACCACCAGCCCCCCGGGAGCCTGCTGCAGTCTCAGCTCCCAGACTGCACCACCATCACCCCCCGCCCCCCTGGCCCAGCTCTAGCAGTGCCTTCCTTCTCCCAACCGTCCCGTGTCCTCTGGTCACCCCCAAAGCAAGCTGTGCCCCCTGCTGCCTCTTCTGATTCCCACCCCTAGGGAAAACAGAGTTTTGTCCTCTCGCCCTCCCCCTGCCCCCCGTCCCTGTGCACACACCCCCACGTGGCTCTCACCACCCACAGCTCTGTGTGAATGGCCTGCCGTGGCCACGCCTGAGAGCAGGGCTGGCACGGGGCGGCAGGGCAGTGGCTCCAGGTGAGTGGGTGGAAGAGAGGGAGCTGCTTGCTTCCCTGCAGCCGGACGCCCAGCACCCCGTGTCCCCCAGCTCCCGGGAGCCCCAGGCTCGTCTGCAGAGCACACCTCACTGTGTCCCCGCAGCTTTCACTCGCCTGCCCGCAGGTCCCGTGCAGTCACAGTGCCCGCGCCACCTCCCCTGCTGGAGCCGGCTTCCTCGCATTTGGGGGTCACTTTTAAGTTAAAACAATCAGATTCCTTGATTTCACAAAAGGAGTATAATGGTTAAATCGTGGCTGTGTCCCGTCCCAGGGAAGAACCAACCCCCAAAGTGGACAAAATCGGGGGTCACCCCAGCTAGACCTGCAGCCGTGGTTGGCGTCTTGGCCCTTCCTCCCCAGTAGTGTCCCCCTCTCTCCACTCCCCTCGGCTGCATCCCTGGACACCTGGCTGCTCTGGGCGGGCTCGGGAGAGAGGACATGGTGATGGAAGTTCTTTCTCGTTCTTTCTCCACAGGCGGCCCTGCCCAGCCGGGGTGGGGGGGAGGAGGGGCAGGGTGACCCTTTCTCCCCCAGGTGCCTTGGGGGGGGTGTCTTCCTAATCCCTCCTGACCTCGGGGACTCACCCCTGTGGTTCTCTGAGGTGGGAAATGCAGGTCCATTTTTATTGATTGCATTCTGGGCAGACCAGAGAAACAACAGTGATTCTAACAGCGAAGTCAACCTCGGGAACAGAGCAGATGGGTAACAAGCAAGTTAAAGGCAAAACACAAAACAAAACGGAAATTGGAGGCTCGCAGGGGTCGTTGGTGTAGGACCAGGTACCTGCCCAGGTCTGAGGACCAAGGGCAAGAGAGCCAGGCAGTGTGGGGACCCTCACCCCGCCCCCCCAGCTGGAGTCCAGCCCCTCGAGGAGGTGCCAGCTGCCTGGCGGACACTTCAATTCTAAGCAGGAGGGAGGAGGTGCCTGCAAGGACTTGGGTATAAAAGAGGGAAATGCCTCCAAGACAAACAGGAAAGAGAACGCGAGGCGCCCCAGGCCCCTCTGGGTCGGGGCTCAGATCTGTGTCCACGTCAACGTCGATGGAGAGAGGTCTGGGGGGCTCCGGGAGGACCTGCTTAGGGTTTAGAGCAGGGGTGGGCAAACTTTTTGACTCGAGGGCCACAATGGGTTCTTAAACTGGACCGGAGGGCCGGAACAAAAGCATGGATGGAGTGTTTGTGTGAACTAATATAAATTCAAAGTAAACATCATTACATAAAAGGGTACGGTCTTTTTTTTTTTAGTTTTATTCATTTCAAACGGGCCGAATCCGGCCCATGGGCCGTAGTTTGCCCACGGCTGGGCTAGAGCGTCGGCCTGTGGACCAAAGAGTCCCAGGTTCGATTCTGGTCAA